TTTTTTCTTTTTTTTTTCAATAATAAGATAATGTCTAGTACTATATCCTCACTGAATACCATTGTCACGTCGCAGTAATTAAGTTATGGGGCAAGATCCGCGACGTGATGAGGTAAACAGCAAGGGGAAAGAGGTGCGCCACCGTCACCAGGGGAGGGGGGTAGGCGAACTTGCCCTTCCGATGTCTTGCGAGGTAATGCGACGAAGCACGTGTTTCGGGTTAATTTATACTGCACCGCGCTAATTTATTCAGTGAGAATAGTACCAGTGCCAGGAAGTGACAAGGCACAGATCCGGGGGGGGGGGGTACTCCATTTGTTCAGGTGGTAGGGGTGATCGGCGGTCGATTTTTAAAATGGCCCCTAAAAGGTACGCATAAATTAAAAAGTCTCTTAAAAACAACCTGATTTCAAACCCTAAAAGGTACAGCTTTATTTCATTAATTTACTATTAACCCCGGCTATCAACGCTGGGTTAACGAATAACAGGACAGCGTATAATAAGATCATAACGATGATCATATTAAAGAAATATTTAGTGCATCATTGTAAAGTAAACAGCGGCATAGTATGGATAACGCGCATAATAAATGATCCCAAAAGGTACGGAGTTATGTTACGTAATTGACTTTTGAGCCGGAACAAGCGAGTACCCCCCCGGGCAAAGATCACTGTAAGTGAAATTAGAATCCATTGCATGTGACGTCAAAGCAGCTCAACTTGGATGAGGACAAAACAAAATATTTTTAATCTCATAAGTATTGGAAATCAGTGTTGTTATTTCTATAGGGGTCTATAGGAAAAAGAGAGTAAACGACACGGTCACCGCGATATATACATACATAGGGGTAAGGGGCTAGAAGTGTCCGAATGATTGGTATAGACCAGGCATAGTGATAAGTGTGCTTTAACTAGATATTTTAAATTGCGTAAAATTCCTGGAGTTTTTTTAATCCGACGCCCACCTTTCAAGAATAACACTGTGATTGGCCCATTTATTTGGTAGGACAACTTGAGCCATCTTGCTAAGTAGTTTAACTTTGCCTTATTTCCGGTGTCGTATTTAAGCCAGTTCTTGACATTTATTTCTGCTAAAAATAAATAAATCGATTTTTTTTCCTGTGAGTCAAAGGGCGCTTTTCATTTAACCAGGAAACAAAACAAACAAACAAACAAACAAACAAAAAACAAAACAAAAAAACACAGGAAATCCGGTTAGATAAAGAACTGGAATGTGTAATTCAAATTGGAACTTTTCGGAAAACCTGGACTTCAGATTGTAGTAATCCACTTTTCCCGCTCTCTTCAGCAATGTTTAGTGTTAGAGGCTTGTACGTATTTGAATTTGAATTTATTACGGTATTAAGTTACGCGTTTGCATATGTGTGTATTGAGTTACGATTATTATGTAATGCACCAATGTACAAATAATTACGTAATACAATCGACACATATAAAACCAACGTAGCGCTTATCATTTCCAAACATTCAGTTGCAGCAACAGCGATTGCTCGACTTCTACTGATAGCGAAGATGGCTCAAGTAAGTATTTTACTAAAATGTTTGAAATGGAAACCTAGATAGAACGATCAGTTGTTCACTTGTTTTTTGAGGTATGAGGTATTTGCTTTCGTTCCCAATGTTCTGCTCGACAAGTCATTAGTATAAGTAGTATTTAGTAAAAAAAACACCAAAATAGTTGAATATAGGCAATACAGTTTTGGTTTTGTTTCACGGATATATGGCGTGCACTCTTTTTTCAACCAAGAAATCTTGTATTATATTCTTAAATTCATTATGTACTTTTGTTGTTCAAAACCTAAATGCAAATCAGTGTTACATAATAGCTACCCTGCGAGTCAAGTTTTTTTCTGACCCTCCCCGACCAGCCAGCCCACGGAGGGTCAGAATAAAGAAACCTTTGCTCGCAGGTTACATAATAGTTTGCTCACACTCTCGATCCAGAAGCCTCCTATTCACGTTTTTCGATCAGGTGCTAGGTGTAAATGTTGTATGATAATTATGCAATAGCTCACACTATCTTAATATTTTCAACCTAACCAGAAACCTAAGTAGTATTTTTAACTTTTGACGATCAAAATGAACTTAAGTAATAGCTCATTAGCTTGCGTAGCGGCCCTCAGTACTCGTGAGGTTGGGTTTCGGATGGAGAGACCAAATCCCACGAGTATTGAGCCGGGGCCGCTACGCAGGTTATTAAAACAAATATTTAGCCTTATGCCATTCTTTAGCCTCATACATGCAAATATATATATTTTTTGACTTTGTATAGTTTAATTATTGGTTTTTCTTGTGCAGTAACATCATTTTTATCATAGAACTTTTATGCTTTTTGATGCTTATTTGAATTCTTTGCGCCCTAAAACAAAAGGCGACCCTGGTTCTATTCCCGGACTCGGCTTCGTATGCAAGAAGTTGAGTTGCTTATTAGTTTTGTCCTTTAGTCTCCTCGTCCGGATTACCTCCCTCCTCAAAAATCTGCTACTTTCAACACGTTTGTGTTCAAGTCACCGATGCCTTTAGATTTTCGCAAAGTCCGTAATAGCTCTATTTGTCCCTATGGGATACTACTTACTGAACGGCGCATGACAATAATAGCAGGATATAGTTGACAGCCTGGTTTGACAGAAGTCTGCATTTGTAAGATGATATTTGATGAACGTTCTCAAAGCGAAAATGATAAGAATGCTGGAACATCCTGATAACACAGGAAAATAAATCCGGATTAGCCCTTATTTCTTACTTGCATTATTTTGTCGAGCATGCGTAATAAACGCGACCTCAACAAATTTGGCGCCAGCCCAAACACGGGTTTTGGCTTCCGTCGACCAAATTAACAACCGATTGAAATCCGAGCGACAGATTGATTTCAATGTCAGCCCTGATGTAAAACTTGTGACTTGCCGTATTTACTCGTATAAGCGCCTCCCCCGAATAAGTGCCTTGCCCCTTAAGGGGGCGCTTATTCGAGGTACTTGAGAGTTTTAGATTGACTTTTTTTTCTCCCCGCAAACGGCAAACGTGACCACGTTTTCATAGTTTTCCTTTGTTTTACTTTACCTTTTACAAACCTTCTCACCATACGCAAATACTCTTTTGTTTTTCTACTACTTGGACTTTTTTGCGATTCTTTTTCAGTAATTTAAACGAATTTTTTACTGGTCAACTGACGTTTCACGTTTGCCGTGAACGTAAATCTAAAACTCTCTATTATTATTATTATTATTATTTTATTATTATTATTATTATTATTATTATTATTATTATTATTATTTACTTATTAGCCTTCCGGCCTTAGATTTAATCAATTGTAAATGTAAGGCAGATGCGAAACAAAATATAATTAAGGTTTACTGTAATATTCATTCTAACGATTCGATTCAACAGGATTCGGTTAAAGTCACCATGGATACCGTCAAAGACAAGTGCCCAGCTTTCGAGAAGGGAAAAGCTTGCCCTTACAACGTACCTGAGCTGAAAGGACTTGGCAAGGGCTGCCCAGAGTTCAAAAATGGTTGTCCATTCAAAGGAGTCAAAGATGTAGGCGAGTTCAAACAAAAGCTAGGGGAGTTGAGAGACAACTGCAAAGGAAAGGAAAACTATGATAAAGCATTTGAGGTATTCATATCGAAAATCGATAGGAATCAAAAAATAACTAATAGGCCCTTTGCAGCTCAGTAATCACGTGCTGATTAATTCACTGAGAGCAAATGAATGAACATCTTGATTCCCATGGGTGAAATATACTGGTGAGCAAACAAACTTTCTACAACCTTTTTCGAGAGATCTTAATAAAACTGCATTTTGTGACACACTGGTTACACATCGTTTCATTCAGTTCTTTACAAATAGCTAAAAAGAATCACCAATTTAAAATCAATAAAAAAATTTTGCTCACCAGCACAAACACGTGACCGTTAACTTCAAAGGGCCTATTTAGGAAAATATACTTTGACATATTGTCATTTCTCGGAAACGCAAATTTATTCAGAATTAAAAGCTTTGATGAAGCTACGCTATCTACACCTGAGTAGAAAAAAAGAGCGCGCCTGTCAGTGTTTCTTTTTACTGCGATCAAGCATTATTTTCAAGCACTAATGCGTTTTTGTTTCATTCTTTTAGCTCATCAACAAGGCAAATGGTGAGCAAGTGGCTAAACTAGGTCACTGTCCCTTCCACAAGAATGGTTGCCAGCTCAGTGAAGACCTAAATGGCAAGCCAATTGTAAGTTTCATTGCAAATGCTATTAATGTGCTGACACACGGTGCAACATTGAACGAAAGCGGACTGTTGCACCGTGTGTCTACCCCAATCTTGTTGCATGCAACGTTGCACGCAACAAATCTTAAGTTGAATCGCGCTCTACTCTTGCAACATTGCGCGCAACAAATTTCATCATATGAACATGGCTTCAACATAACCTGCAACATTGTGAAATTTCCAGCCAATCAGCTTGCACCAAATTTATAACTTCTGTCCATGCGATGTTGCATGATTTTGTTGCAATGTGTGTCACCCCGATTCGAATTTGTTGCTTGCAATGTTGCGTGCAATGTTGCACCGTGTGTCAGTACCTTTAGGATGCCGTCATCTGATTAGATTATGAGCACATTTCTTTGCCAGAAAAGTACTGATACCCATGTTTCTTAGCGTGAATTTTAACAACTTATGATATCGTCCGATCAACTTCCAATTTTACATGTAAATAGTATTCGTCCTTTAGTTTTTACTAATGTTACGATTTTTTGCGGTAAAATGACGTCACCAATTTTGGGGAAATTCGAAATTAAGGAACATGGACAATTTTTATAAGCACGAAAGGAACATGAATTATCATGGGCAGTGCTAAGCGAGAAACCGTGGGAACCTCGAAATATTCAAAGGATGTTTCATTGTTTTTTAGCCAATAAAAAATTTGACTTTCTAACCGCAAGATAATGAAAAGATAACAATATTACGCTTCTGATTAATTAGGGAAACATTCTTGAAATATTTCTAGGTGCCCACAGTTTTTCGATTCTCACTGCAATTTAGAAAGCAAAAGAGATAAAAAAATAAATTAAAAATAAGCGGAATTTTCAAACTTGAACAATTGTATACATATCATTGTACACGTCTCAATGAGTTATTTCAAACTAGCCTGCGTACTCTGGTTAAGGGCTCAACATTTTTTCAATTTTCAATCTGGCGACCGTGGTTTTTAATCCAGACTTTTCACTGTCTTAGACCAATGACTTTGTTGACATGGATACAATCAAGACCAAATGCCCAGTTTTTTCAGAACGGTCGCTTTTGCCCCTACAACCTTCCTTGCTTGAAAGGGTTGGGAAAAGGCTGTCCTGAGTTCAAGAATGGCTGTCCCTTCAAGGATGTCAAGACCATTGGAGAATTCAAAGCAAAGTTGGGGGAGATGAGAGATAAATGCAAAGGCAAGGCTAATTACGACAAGGCACTTGATGTAAGTATAATTACTAAGTCTAATAGTCAGTTCCAGCATAAAAAAACCATTGTCAGAATCTTCGCTTTTGTTTGATTTATATTTGAGCAATTGTATATGAAAATTAGGTATTAGCATTGATTTAAGTAATGTAACGTCAGAGATTTTTATAAAGGTTCTGTCGTACTTGGTAAATTCTCAATTTGAACGCAACGAACTGCCATTTGAATTACTGAATTTGATTTACTAAAAAGGCGGGAAGTCGGAAGCGCTAGCTTCACATGATCTTAAGGATTCAAAAAGGACTTTTTAACGACTTAATTTGATGATCTAGCTTTATTGTCGTGACTCGGGTTCGATCCCCAGGTCTTGGTGTCTTATGTGAGTCATGAAAGTTGCTTGTTTTTTCTCCTGTGACTTTGGGTTTTTTTTCTGTTTTTCTTCTGTTTTTCTCACTACGCAAAAATCAACTTTTTAATCCTAATTCGATTATAGAACAAGGGTCACAAGCAGTCTTAATGAAGGGTAAATCTATCTAGAATCAAAAATAAATGAAATCTAGATCATCTTCTAACTCTCTTTATAACTTTTTTTATTCAGATGTTTGCTGGTGCCAATGGCGTGCAAATGGCCAAATTTGGACATTGTCCTTTCTTCAAGTTTGGATGTATGTTTAAGACCGACCCAAGCGGCAAGCCAATTGTGAGTAACGTATACATGTAACTTTTTAAGCAGACTGGAAAAAATTCTCAGATGATAATTAATACGACTAATAGACCTCTTCGGCTTAGGGTAATGTTTTCCCATTTCAGATCACACTCGACGAAAAAATGGATTTGTCATGTAGGCAAACATATAGACAAATATATGGGCAAATATCATATTTGACTAATAGTA